GGCTTGTTCATCCCCGGCCCAGCCCGTAGCGACCCCCTGATAGTCTCTGGCTTGTCCTCCCTCGGCCCCTGTGTCGGGTCCCTAACTCAGAGCCTGGCAGGCTCCTCTGTACGTCACTCCTTCCTTCAAAACCCTGGCAATCTTTTAGCAGTAATTCATACAAAGCCCCTCATTCCTTTCTGCTTTTTTACAGCTGTATACTATTCCATCAAACGGACATACCGTAGTTTATTTAACCAGCCCTGTTGCTGGACACGGGTTATTTCTGATGTTCCTTGATTCACCTGAACTCAGCAGACTGCATTTAGCATCTGCCACGTGCTGATCCCCGGGGATAATGCAGGACCCTTGTGCATGTTGAAGTACCTTTTGGGCATCTCAGTGATGGGGCCCGTGGGGAATTGAAAATAGTGCTCGGAGGGAAGTTTGGAACTGGAGAGAGACATTTGGGAAGTTAGGATGGGAAGCTGGATCTTCGGGGGGAGCTGATAAGATTAGCTTGTGTTAAGCATGTCCAGCAAATACGAGACATGATCTGAGTCGATGCTCGAGGGAGCAGGAACCAGGAAAGGAGATGGGGCGGTCAGCGGGGCCGGCACGTCCCCGAGAGCACGCCCGGAGGTCACCGCTGGCTTGTTTCCTGTCTCCGTTGTCTCAGGTGCGGAGGGAGGGTGGAGTCCTTAGGAAACTGGCCTGGTCTTCACTTCTGTGCTTGGAGTTCACCCCATTCCACAGGCCTCTGACGCCCAGTCCCACGGTTGCCTGTTTCTGCCTCCCCTTCTCCGTCCCCAGCACCCTCACGCGCAGGGCGAAGGTGGGATGCCGCAGCTCTCCACCCACAGGCCAGGGACCCCCGAGCCTCCCCCGGGTGCCCGGGTACGATGGTGGAAGAGCCATTTGATTGTGATTAGATATGACAAGTAGAGTGTGTAGAGCAGGACCCAGGTATAGGCTTGGAGGTGTGAAAACAATGTGTTAAAAACTGTGGTTCGATTCCCGGTCAGGGCACATGCCCGGGTTTCGGGCTCGATCTCCAGTAGGGGGCGTGCAGGAGGCAGCTGATCGATGTTTCTCTCTCTTGGATTTCTCTCTCTCTCCCTCTCTCTTCTCCTCTAAGATCAATAAAAACATATTTTTTAAAAACGGACATAACAGATAGTATAATAGGGCATGTTCTGTGTTACACAAGTACAGAAGCAGCTTTTCCATTCTGAGGACCATGGGGCCTCCCGAAGGAGTTCTCCGTAGCATTTGGCACGTGTAGGGTGGGGGTCTGTGAGTGGAGTCAGGTGTTTCATCTGCGCGTCTGATGCTGCAGATTCACGTGGGAGCTGTCGGTCCCGTATCCGGGCTCGTCACCAAACATGTCCTGGGGCCCGGGGCGGGCGGTGAGGTGACCCAGGGAGCCGCAGGGAGGGGATGCAGGTTGCTGGCACCTTCATCCCACAGCACCGTCATTTGTCATCCTGCCTCCCTGTGCGCAGACGGACATTTTGACCCGAATTAGAATTTTCAGTGGCAGAAATTCAAACAGAAAGTAAATTTGACATTTTGTTTCTTACGTACCCAGGCTCTGCTTGAGCTTCCTGAAACCATGGCAACCATGTGGCTTTTTGATATTAAATGTCATCTCTCTCTCT